ACTTATGACAGCTAGCCTGACCATACTAGGCCTACTGGATCGAATTACAGTCGGTTGGTACCAAATGAAAGATATTTTCCTGTAGATGTGCAGAATCCCTTTTTAAAATTAAAATAGGCTAAAAAATAAGCACGAAAAATTAATTTTAAATTTCAAAAAAATTAACATGGGCCTTATGGGTTGCCATGCTGGTAACAAAATAACAACAAAGTATAAACAGAAAATCCAAACAAAATCCAATCACATACGTTTTATTTACAGTGTGGGGTGAAAATAGAGAAGTCTGTACATTACATATTTTATTATTTTTGGTTGAGTTTTGGACCACGGGGTGACCTCTAGGAACCAATATAAAAATCAACTTTTTTTGGGAGATTTAACACGGTGCTTTTTTAGCTTACAACACCCTGACCATACTACTGGCCCGATTTACACGCGGGTTGTACCAAAAAAAAAGGTTATCGGTCCTATGTGCAGGTTTTATTCGCATTTCGAGAATATTTATGTTAATTGGGTCAAAAATGGAAATGCAACTTTTCTTATGGAGATTTAACAGTGGGCTAATTATATACCTATATTAATTAGGTACTAGACAAATTTTTATATTGAAAACCTTTTTTCTCAGCTCCTGTGTATCACAGGGAAAATCTATGCATACTGTTATAAAAAGATTTGCCTGTAGATGTGCAGAATCCCTTTATAAATTAAAATAAGTTCAAAAATAAGCACAAAAATGAATTTAAAATAATAAGTAAAAAAATTAACTTGGGCCTTATAGGTTGTCATGTTTTTGACGAAATAACAACAAAATATAAACATAAATTCAAAACAATTGGAAGCAATTCAAATTACGTGTTTTATTTACAGCTTGGGGTGAAAATAGAGAATTTTGCACAAAACAAACTCTCTAGCTGTAGTATACAATACTATAGACAAATAGAATAAAAATAGACTGTTAAAGAAAGGTTCTGGAGCCCACCGCTAGGAGTGCCGTGTAGTAACGGCGCATCCCGCTGCAGGAGGCGTATGCTACCCTCAGACCCTGCAGCGGTGTGCGCCGTAACTACGCTGCACTCCTAGCGGTGAACGCCGGAACATATGCTAACCGCAGCACTGCTGCCGGTCTATATTTATTCTATTTGTCCATGATATTACTAAACTAATAAGTAAACAATCAAAACAGAACTCAATGGTTTGAACACTATCCCACATTATAAGAAAAACTTACTGTCACTTCTTTGATGCAATATTAGAAATCTGTGTTAGAATCAAAAGATTAACTCAAGGAAAAGTAAACAAACAAACTAAAGCCAAAACAAATATAACAGCTGATATAGCTTACATATTTTAAATTCAATTAAATACATCCCTTTAAAATTAGGTGTGCAGCTTATGGTTTTTCTTAGTTCAGATCCTTCTTAGCTTTATATAGGCCTATAGATGTTTTGTTTTGGTAGGTTCCCAAGACCTTTTGAAAGAAAGAAATATGAGGGGACCCGTGCACAAATTGCACATTTTAATTGGGCTCAAAACTGGTTTTCAAGGAAAAACAAAAAATGCAATACCCTTTTACTTTTTGTAAGTTGAAAAAAAATTGCTTACCGTATTTAGCATGTGAGCACCAGTGAATGAACGTTTTAAGCTTGAAGTTTCCACTTATATCCTACATTTGTAAATATGCTATTAAGCTACAAAGTGTAGAGAATAGTTGTCCGGATTCACCTCTACTTCATAAATATATTATGTTCAAACGGAGTGTTAAAAATACAATTTATTGCACTTAAATCATTGCACAACAGAATGACCGCATATTATAATATAATATAACATTTTTTAAATGTATTCACACCCCTTCTTTTCACCAAATAACCAATCAAGATTCTCACATCAAAGCTGGACACCCTTTATTTAACAATTTCAGGATCGTCAATATATAGTTTCTAGTAAATTACCACTTTTATTTCATCTAGTAAGTTTCCGTAACACTTAACCAGCGGTCAAATTCTGGTTGTAGTGTTTACAAATGAGTTATGATGGGATTTTGTGATATCAACTTTTTGGCCTCTGGGGTAAAAAAAGTATATCAGTCCCGGGTCCAGGTCTTACCATGAGTAACACGGTAATAGCTTATTCCATATACGGGAAATTCACCAAAATGATCGAATAGTTAACTGAACAGCTGCTTTTTTGCATTAGCAAAATTGAAAACAAGCTGGAAGTAGTTTTGAGAGGTTATCTTTACATGAAAGGTATTTTTGTTTTTTTAACTTAGTTCGTTAAAATTTTGCAATCTGATAAAACATCTAGTTCATCATAAGGGCAAAACGTTTTTTTTCAACCCTCGCTCATTTCTCAACTGAGGTGAATGGTAAAACTTGAGCTCAGGTTGAATAGAGTCAACTTTACTCCCTAGTGATGAAATAGGCCTACTATTTCGTTTCCTGTTGTAACAAACCCAAGTAGGTATTTGTTAAATCTAGTGGGTAGTAAAAATATGATTTGCTTACCTATGGAAATATTTTACTTAAAATCCAATCAGACAATTTGAAATGCATTTAGTCTACAGGTTTGCTGTGATGTGGGTATTTAGTCACCATTTGTCACTGTCATATCATAACTGATTTAAAAATGACACCCCAATTAAAAAAAAACCGGTTAAATAGGACGACTGGAAAAAGAACATCTTAACAGAGAATACACGTCTCTTCAGTTTAATTATTTGCTAGCCCAGGTCCGTAAAAGTTAAACTCACTGGCCTACTGGCGGTAAGTGATATTTAAGAGTGTTAGGCTAATTTATTTTCAAAATTGTATGAAAACAAGCCTGAATGTACTATTGGAGTAAATAATTTATTTTTGTAAAAAAATACAACCGACTTCAAACGCTCTAAAAAGAATGAAATAATTTCAATAAAGTAAACTTTTGTATTAGGCAAGCTCACGTATTTTAAGTCGGCGCAGCTCTATGATGATTTTTGATACACAATTGAAAGAGGGTGTCCATATTGCAGGTGACTATCTATAACTAAAGGTGTTGATCTGCATGTCTTTTTCATAGTTATGCGTTAAGTGTTATTTTATTACCGTAATTAGAGATCGGCATTATAGTGGTATTAACGAGTATCTTCAAAAAGATTATAACGCATTTAAATGTTTCTAACTTGGAAAATTAACGTTTTAATACTAAACTAGCTTCTTTTCCCTATCATAATATCAAACTAAATTATTTTCCTATTCATATAGAACATTTGTGTGTGTTATTTTCATAATGCATTTATTCTGAAGTAAACATAAAATACAAGAAAATATTTCTTTTAATATATAAACAAAACAGTTCAGTATGTTTTTTATATATATATGTTATCCAGCTACAATTTATTGATTTTCAAAATACACACACAATATTTAATTTCAATCATATTTGCAGTTTGAGCCGCGCCGACTTGAAATATGTGAGCTTGCCTAATACAAAAGTTTACTTTATTGAAATTATTTCATTCTTTTTAGAGCGTTTGAAGTCGGTTGTATTTTTTTACAAAAATAAATTATTTCATGATTTTTAGTGATTGTATTATTTTTTATGTATTAATTACTTGAGGTTTTTTGATAAGCAAAACTGTTTGAAACAATCAAAAGTACCACAGAACAATCATTATTTTAAAACTGCTTGAGTCACCTGTTCAGGTTACATAATCAATTGGTATAAAAATAAACATTTTTAGATATTCCTTGAGAGAGAAAGAGTTGTCCATTACATTAGGCCTAATGAAAAACTAATTGTCTTTTCTAGATACATTGAAATGTCAGACATCATCGTTTCCTGCAATCTGTGTACTTATACATTATAAAAAGAAATACAGTAACATCTCAAGCCTTTTGGAACAATATGAAAGTTATTCCTCAGCCACCAGCACTAAAAAATCTCTCAAAAGTGGAAAATTGGTCGTTAACACGTATAAAAATATTATATGAAAGATTGGTTCAGCTAAAAGTGGTGTAAGTCATGTAGGGGGTTTTGTTTGCTCAAGATATAGCCTAGTCGAAATTGCAAATCATTTTCCTCTAGAAATTTCCGAAGGAGGCATAATAGTATTGATATGATATAGTAACTGGGTAGAGAATATTAATAAACATTCCACATCTGCAAATGTATGTTTAGTAATTAAAATATTTAACACTTTTAAGACGATTGACGATTATGCACTATCATACTTCTTAGGTCGTGTAAGGAATAATTGCATTTAATTTATATTTAGACTTCTTTTACGAATGCTTTAGTTTTCACAATACACCTTTATTTGTCAATATCATACAGCTATTCACTGAAACATATATGTTTTTGTACATCAGAATATTCAATACTAATAAAAACAGAATTACTGTATACACAAATCAGGTCAAACGTTAAAATAGGTACATTTTTTATAGTAACCAAAACAAAATGCATTTTTCTCAATGTAATTCATTTAGGCTCCATGGCAAGAAATAGTTTATTGATCAATATGAAGCAACTGTTTTGTCTGTAGCTTCATTTAAATGGTTTCAACTAACAGCTGTAGGAATATTATTATTATTTATTGCCTTCTCTGCACAAATGTAAACAATCTGCACAAATGTAAACAAAATAAATGTTGAATATTTAAGGTTTTCAGAATTTTTCACCGAAACAAATATTATACTTAAACATAATATATAAGGTACCAAATAGAAACTCTCCTGGTTATTTTGGTGGTGGAACCACACTGATCGGTAAAAGAATCACAGAGAAATTGGTGAACATACATAGAAAAAAAAAAACATCGCCACAAACAAATTGAGAACCTCCTCCTTTTGTTGGTAGTGGGGAAGTCGGTTAAAAACAATCTGAATTGAGTTAGGAATGAGTAAAAAAGAGCATATCTATTAAACAGAAAAATGGTTAATTTATCACACACTTCTCAATTAGCCTAATAAATGTCTTCTTGACATTTTATTCTACTATTTTACTTTTTGTTGTTTCAGAGGTGCGATAAATGAAGTGGCTTGGTGAAGGAGATTCGGAAATGTTAAGTCAGAGTAACGGGCCACAACAAGTCCAGCAACAAGCATCTTCTGTAAGTAAAAAACCATCAGAAGGGTTGATCCGTTAAGTTTTAATATGTTACCAAGGTTTGTAAGGATAAAAGTATCAATTGGACCATTCATGACTGCAATGAGTCGCATTGCTTAAAGAACCTTGCTTGTCAGTCACCAACAAGACCAGAACATGGTAGGCATGAGAGTAAACATTTATTTAAGAGGAAATCCAAGTAAAATAATGTAAAATATTTAGGGGCATTCAAAAAATTAGGTTTTGGCGAGCTTCAAAACACTATGTCATATGTCATACTTGTATGATCTGGCCATCCAGGTCTTTTCTTATTCCATACGTGGAGACAAGAAATAAAATTGTAATGTGTTAACCTATCTGAAAGGTCGTCTTTTGTATTACCAATTTTATGATACAAAATTGTAAAGGTAGGTAATCCATGGCCCACACTCATACAGAGCTATTATCATTATCATTAATTTGAGACTGTGACGCATACCAAGGTGTGTATTTTAAGCTGAATATGAATGTGAAGTGAATGTAGAATGGTGATCGAGTAACATGATCTGTGTAGCTTTGATACATACCTTTATACCTTTATACCATGTATCCATCGATGACCAGTAGTGACTGGATAGATTTTGTCAAAGAAAAACCATTAAAAAACATTTAAGTTTTAATACTTTATATATTTATGCGGTTAACATGGCTGTAGATTACGAGGTCCATTCACCATTTTCCTCTGTGAAATATTCCTTCATGGAGTACAGGGGCCGCGCCTTGAGTAGCTCCTCTACTCTCTTTTTAAAACTCTTAAGAGGGAGTGACTTTATGTCCTGGTGCAGGTGGTTATAAAGTCTGATGCCAAGGACCGGATAACAGTCTTTTTGTTTACAAAGCCTGCAAATGGAACGTTTAAATCTTCTCCTTTTCTCGTATTATAACGATGTAGCTGGTTTCTGCAGCTGAGGTTATCTATATTTTCCTTGGTCTGCACCAGACAGTTATAAATGAATTGGCTGTAGATAGTCATTACTCCTAGGGCTCGGAAAAGTGGCATACAATGTTCGTGTCTTTCGCTGGACGTTATGGCTCTTATGGCAGCCTTTTGAACTATCAGAATGTTCTTAGTCTCTGAAGCGTGTCCCCAGACAATGACACCATAGCTCATTAAGCTGTGAAAGAGGCCATAATAGGCCAGCTTTAAGTATGCATCTGTGACCAGAGTTTTTAATTTTCTTAAGAGGAAAACAGTTCTGGAAAGTCTGCTTTCCAACTCATTTATATGTTTGTCCCATGTCAACCTACTATCCAGCCAAAAACCTAGTAGTTTGACAGGTTGTTGTTGCAGAGTTTGGGGTTTTAAACTGCATATAAGTTCTTGGGTTTTGTCATTGTTTATTTTAAGTTTGTTCGTTGAAAACCAGGCTTTTGCCTCGTCCAGGATTTCCTCGTCCAGGATACTGATTAAGATCAGCTATTCTTTAGCCAGGTTTGTTTATTTAAACCCCAGTGATCTGGGAGAACTGAATCAATTTTCAAACTATCAAAATGTGTTAAATAAGTCTGAACAAGAGAGGGAGTCAAACTTTTTATGCTGTGTCCAATATTTCCGATCAGTTCTTTTAGTTTTTGAGGGAGTTTGAAGTCCCCAGATGCATTTTTACTTGAGAGTCCACATTGTTTGTAACTTATTCTTAATCAAGAAGAGGTAGCCTATATAGTTTCGGTTCTATTGTTATTCAAGTCAAGAAAGACATTTAAAAATTGACATAAACCTAATACCTTATAAGATGCAAACCCCTCGTTTATTTGACAAATAATTTTGTTTAATCCATGTCTCTATACCAGCTCCATATTTCAATTACAATGACTATTGTTCTGTGTTTAGCAACAAGTAAACGCTGAATCTTCCCGCCCGCAAGTTCTGTCTCGCTCGCAGGATGATGCTATGGTAGGATACGTGTTCCAGCGTCCCCAAGCAGACCCAGACTTCCCTGTACCTCCTACATTCAAGCAACAGTCCCGCTGGCCTGTAACTGACGACACAGTAATTGACCATGTAAGTGTTACAGGGCCTATGTAAGTGTTGTAAATATTAGCCTACACTAATGGGATTACAAAGCAGTTACATTTAACGTGGTGTAAGGTTCAATAACAATGCTGACATTCTAAAACTAAACTAATCCCTCTAACCTTTTCACAACACTCATGTTCCTAACATCTTTACATCCATTATTAATAATGTAGGCCTACTAGGATTTTAAATCATGTTGGCATTAGCGTGCTACGTGGATGTAAAGAAGTTAGGAACATGAGTGTTGTGAAATAATAGTTCCGTGAACACTTTTTACATCAATCTTCTTTTCCACAGGATGACCATAAACTACACATTAAAGGAAAACCAGGTATTATGCGTAAATCTTTTGTACCAGAAAAAATCGGAATTTAGACAGTCACGTTGAAATCACGAACATATTCCCCGGTCACAGCAGTATCATCGTCTCTCACGATTGCAGCAAAACTGAAAAAAATCCCACCACAATTGTGATTGAATCATGAAATTTTTATTGTACATTTTTGCAAAAGCTTTCCACAATCGACGAAATACGTTGCTTGGCTCGATAAATATTTTCGGTCTGAACTGATTCCTCGGCCAAAATATAGGGTAACCGCAGACTACATTAATAAGATGTCTACCTAGTATGAAGGTACATTAATTGGTGATCGGACAAACCAAGTTTTACTGCAGCTAAGACCGGAAATAATGCAACTTTTTTTCTTGGAGTTCTTTGGCCACCCTTATTAGTTTTAATGAGCACTGTAATTAAAACTAGTAATGTTTCAGTAGCTGGGTGAAGGAAATTTTGTAGAGGTTTATGATTTTGTCACTTGTTCTTGCAGGTTTTACCTCGATTTTAAATCTTTGACTCATGAAATGCATCTGTATGTCAACACCTTTGTTCTGTATACACGATTCTTGCTTACAAATTAAGTTGAGTAACAATAAAAATCAGACGAAATGAGGTAGAATAAAATTTTGGTAAAAATTAGATTTCTTGGATCCAGATAAAGGTTGCTTGATGGTTGTTTAGAATTTCCCCACTGCTGTTAGAAAGTGTTCAGGGACGATCATTGTGGATCACAAAAAGTTAAATACGCAACATTCCTTTATCTAGGATTGCATGCCAAGTTTCGGCTCTTAAATTGGCGTTTTTCAAGAAGGCAATAAGTTTAACATAGATAAATCCTTACAGTCCTAAATCACCATAGCCAAGTGTGTTATGGATACTTAGTTTGGTGTCTTACTTAGGGGTATGTTCCACTGTATAGACTCAGGCTTCAAACACCCTCCAGTGTTTTTGTAAGTTATTTTAAAGTTCTGTTTTTGTTCAATTATGTTCAGCATTTTGTCTTCATTGTTGGCCTACTCTTGGTATTGTAAACCTCAATCCCAACATTTTAAACCGGAGGTGCTCAAGTTTGTTTTTGGTGGCTTTGGGTGTTTTCATTTACAAGAAATGTTTAAATATGTTGCACAAAAAACTCAATTTCTTACTTAAACTGTTACTAACTATACTGTGTGCACTTCAATTAAGAGGGATTTAAAGAAAATACACCACACGGGTCGGCTAGTTTAAACTGTATTTCTTTATTTTTAGTGAAGGCTCCCGGGCTGGAAAAGAAGCATTTTGTCCTGCTTAGCAACATACTACAAAATGATATCCTCATATCTATCTGACACAAGTTGCAGAGTAGTGAATTTTCTTCTGTCGTTATAAAAATTAATGTAAATCAAATTTATTCCAGTAATAGGCAACATTTGTACAATCTTTCAGAATCAGGAGAAGTGGAAATATCCAGTGGCAAAGATGCCCATGCCTGTCAACAATGTACCATTTGAAGTTCATCCTCTAGTGATGAAAGTAAGTAACATGTTGACAGAGTAGGGAACTACAGTACTACAGTAGTGTTTGTGTGTTTAAGATTGTTCCCAATGTAGTTTCATTTTCTTTCCTTCACTTGGATGTTACTTATCGTTATTTATGTTGGATTTGATCTTTTTATGTATATTTGTTGTAGACTATGCTGCATGTTGTAAAATCATGTTTTAGTTTTGTTTCTTTGAAATTACTTGTATACTTTTGAAGTTTAATTTATCCTTGCATGTTCCATTGTTTCCAATTAACTTCTTGCTTTTCAAATCCCATTTTTCATTTCTGCATGGCACCAAAAAAAGGAGTTTTAGAATTACTTCAGTTGGTATTTGCTACAAAATGGAAAATTTATACTTTACTTTAATACTTTATCCTGAAATGGCGACCATATAAATGTAGGTATTTTAAGACAAGTATGAATGGAGATAAGAGTAGGATGAGTGGCGCACAATGTTGTAGTCTTTTTAGTGACTTAGGCCGACATGTTCCTTAGACACAGCTGTTAATTAATAATACAGCCAATGGCAACTAAGGGACCTACAGTTTATAGAGGAATCAGAACCACATTTTTGTCTTGTAATTAACAAATTGGTCTAATAATCAATAGTACTGTGCTGTGGATAGTCGAAGTTAATCCACACCAGGGAGTATCGCATTTACATTGCATGCCTATAAATATCCACAATAATTGGAGACATAAACTTTTTGCTCAATCTTACTTTAGCAGGTTCTAGAATCTCTCTAAAATAACATTTTATACAAAATGTTAATGGACATAATTTACCAAAGTTTGATTTATATCATAAATCCTTGCACTAGGGAGGTATTACGATTGTCATAGATGTGTAAATTTATGTTTCAATGTCAATAATTAAAAATAATTTTATTGTATTCCAAGGATAAGGAACTCTGGTACAGTGCTTACCCTTATTTTATTTTGTGTGTTTCTACGCCAGTGGCATTTTTTACGTTTTGAAAAGTTAACGCTTCAAACCCTGGCCCTTGTCTTATTTTAGTTACTACTTAACGTCGACCTTTTTGTTAGATAGTATTATTCATTCATAGCCCAGTGACAAATGGCATCTGGGTATGGAAACAATCTCGCTTGGAATTGAACCAGCGACCTTCAGATTTGAATGTGAACACTATAACCACTCGGCTACCCAGACAATTAAATCATACAATGACGGTTACAGTACTGCGGTAAAGTGGTGATGAGCGAAATTAAGTTTTTAAGCTAAACGTGGTATTTATTCATAAACAAATCCTAGCTTGAAGACATTTTGGAAGTAAAATATGTATTCAATCCCTTTACAGATAATTTTCCAAAACACCACTAGTATGCTATCTCTCCTCCTAGGATGTACGTCTTTTGCGTACTGAAGTTGGTTCTCTAAATTTAGGCGGTTTGAGGGGAAGTTCCCCCAATTTTTTTTTTTGTTGTTTTATGTATGTTGCACCTGATTCACGGGGTGAATAAATGTTTTATATTTACTTGTTACCTCAGCTGTTAAGCTAATTTTTTTAAAGGTATGTTGAAGTTGATGAGATAGATTTCTTCCCCTAAAATCACCTAAATTTTGTGAACTGGGTATAATTTAATTAGCTTGAAAATTTATTGTATTATTATTTTTTGTTGCATGATGTTATTAATCTATTTGCGTGCTACATTTAATGTTGTGTATTATTAGTTTTAGTCTTTTATTTGTTGTAAAACTAATTTTATTTATTGTAAGATTTAAGATATATTGTTTATAACTCCAGAATATATTATTGTATTACAAAGACATTACATTTACAAAATTACATAACAAATTTATTTATTCGTCAAAAACCTAATAAGAATTTAAATTATTTATGCAAAGAATTGAACATTTTTGACTTTTTAAAAACTGAACACCTGGTAAAACTTGATAACAATTGATGTACTTAATGACAAGAATATGACACTGGATGGATACAATTGGTGCAAAATTTGCTCAAGTTACATGACAAATAAACAAACTGTCTGCAGAATTGCACTTTAAAATTTCATACACTAATTTATATCAGCTTTACCTAGCCTTATATTATACAGTACACTCTCGATTATCCGAGCCCCGGTTATCCAAGACCCGGGTTATCTGAGGCAATGGCGGCGATAAGAACCCGCGGGCCCCCCTCTCCCAATGATCTTTAAAAACGTTTTCCCATGTATTACCGCCTAAACATGCAATTTTGCAATAAACTTGACAAGGCATCTCCCGAGGCGTCATTATCATCTTCCATCATCGCAGCAAAATCGTAAATACTTCCCGTAGTCATAAGTCATGGAAGAAACATCATCATAGTTTACCGTGATTGCAAATGCAACCAAACCTATGACATCATTAGATAGCAGCATCATCGTCTCCCGCGTTCACGGCCCAATCTAATATCACGGCCTAATATCTCCCTGCGACCCGTCGGTGGTGACGGGTAAATCATTTTTCCGTAATCGCGGCTAATCAATCAATCAATCAATCAAAACATTCTTTATTCATTATAGTTTCACATTACATGAACTTGAATAGAGTCATAAGCTAAATTCAAAATTGCTTACTGCTAATTAAATACATAAAAAGAGTACAAAAATTACTTTACTTGAACTTTTAACAAAACCATGACTTTAAGGATAACAGTATTTGGCATTCAAATTAAGTTAGGCCTAACTGTTTTTTACTAATACTAAAGAATTCTGTTACTGAGTAGCAGGGAGTTCTTAAAAAATATTCCTTTAAGAGCTTCTTGAATTTATTAAATTTTGTTTCTTTTCGGATGTGAGCTGGTATAGACTGGAGAAATTTTAGCCCTATGTAAGATGTCTTTTTAGTGTAAAATTCGAGATTATGCCGAGGTAGGTTAATTTTTAATCTGGTGTTATATACTAATTGTTCTGTTGAGCTGGATGATAGTTGGATCTGTTTTGCATAAATTATTGTTTCATAAATATAAAGACTATAAACTGTTAATATTTGTAATTCACGAAAGATGCTCTTGACTGGCTCTTTCTTTTTAAGATTTTTCATCACCCTGATAGCTTTTTTCTGTTTAATTAGTACTTTATCTAAATTAGTTTTTGTTGTTGCCCCGTATAGAACAATTCCATATGAAATATGTGAATGTATTAATGAGAAATAAACAACTCTTAAAGTGTCTAAACTGCATACTCTGAACATCTGTCGCAGCGCATGGATACCGGAAGATACCTTTTTAACCACATAGTTCACATGGCCCTCCCAAGATAGATGTTTATCGATAATTAGACCAAGAAATTTTGTTTGCTTTACTTGGTTTATTCTTTCTGATTTTATGCAAATGTTTGGTTCAAAATTTTGTCTATGTTGTTTAGTGGAAAATGATATAAAATTGGATTTTTCTGTGTTAATAAGCAGATTTTTTCGGTCAAGGAATTCTTTTATGGATAAAAGACTCTCCTGAGAAAACGTTTCAATCTGTTGTTTTGATCTTCCGGGAATAAGCACATTACAATCATCAGCAAACAGACACATAGACCCGCCGTTACCAGGAATCGCTCCCGGCATACCTCTAATATAGCAGAGAAAAAGTAGAGGCCCCAGGATCGATCCCTGCGGCACCCCATATTTCAGCGTCTGATGCTGAGATCTACATTTTTCAACGTACTTTGTGTTTGCATGCTCCACAACATAATCCAGTTCAACAAATTGGTTTCTGTTTTCTAGATATGATGTAAACCATGCAAGCTCTTTTCCATAGATTCCCATTTCTTTTAGTGAAGTCAACAATATACTATGTGACACGCTGTCAAATGCCCTACTGAGATCCAAAAAGATTCCTACAACATTTTCTCCTCTGTCAACAGCATTTATTATAGTTTCTATGAATTCAATACCAGCTGTTATTGTTGATTTGCCCTGCCGAAAGCCATGTTGCCTAAATCCTAGATATATCTCTCGCTAAAAAAGAAACGTCATTATAGTCTTCCGCAATCGCGGTAAATTATTGAACATCTGCGGCCACGGAGACATCGATCGTCATCGTCATCCGCGGGGAAATGTTCTCGTCAATATCCGCGATCACGGCAAAAGCGTAGGCCTAATCTTTCAATTTCGTGAGCGTGATCCTCACGGATATAAAAGCTTTTACTTTTAACCCTCCGAGTGTCCCTTGTTTTGGCCTTAATGTCTGCCTATTTTTTGCTCATTTGCAAGGTTTTATTAAAACGGATCTGAGAAGCTTGAAAACAATGTTAATTATACTGTTCTATATACCATTTTGTTTGGAAAATCATGGGCTTCAATATTATACATAGAAAATAAGGAATATTTGTTTAAAAAAAAAAATTTTAGGTAAAAAAAAATGTTTTGGAAAAAAAAAAAATAAATAAGTTCGCGCTCAATGAAATTGTATAAATTATAGGCCTATAAATATTTGAAAATAGCCACTTTGTTCTAAATTTTATGAGGATTACAAATATATAATAATATAAGGAAGTAGATTTGCAAATAAATAAGTTATGGGCAAAAAACAGATTTCGTTACATAGCGTTTAGCTAAGAATGCATAGCCTAACCATAGCTAGGAATCTGGCGGATAATTTACATCAATATCACTACCTACTTCTTCAGGACCATCAACCAGCCCTTCAAAATCACTTAAATCTTCTTATAATGCACCATATATATCACTACTTTTGATTTTTAACACTAAAAGAATGATAAACGTAATAAAACACATCAGTCATCGGTCCGAGTCTAACCAAGCTGTTTACAAATACGCACGTCAGCTGTCTGCTACAACATTTTCGGAACTAAAATGAAAAGCGCTTAGAGACAGACCTCCGGAGAAAGCTCTGAATCTGTAAAATAAAACGATACCTAACTCGATCCAGTTCAATCCGATTTTGTCAGTCATAGAGCCTTTGCCGTAAACAGTGTTTGTGAGTCGCTGCAGCGACACAAAACACTACACAAAGTGTGTTATGTGTCG